TTTACCTTGTTCACCACTTAAGCTCAATTTGCTCATTAGATCTAAATACAAAGTACAACTCAACTCGATGGGAATGCATTTCATTTAAGGTAACTGGTAATAAAGGTATTAGGCAAATTAAATTGATCATCATTCAACATCATTAGGACTCATCCCCTGGGAGCCAGGGGTGTCTGTACCAAATGTGTATCTTGCCTGGCAGAAAGACTTGGGATCCTGGTGTGACAAAACACGAAGGCATTGTTCATTAAACAGATGGCGCTCCCATAGAGGTTAGTGTAGATGCTGCTAGCATCACTTACATCAGGACTGGAGAATATTTCTTCATTGAAAGAAGAGCAAACAACAGCACAGAAGGCTGTTGATAAAAAAGATGTTTTTGCTCTTCTGCTGACTGATTGGTTGAAGTTTGTCTGACGGTGATACACAGATGGTTCGTCCAATCATCTGTCGAGTATCTTTTGAAAGTGCCTGCCCTTTTCCAAACAGTTTCCAATGATGGTTACCATTTTTGTGGCAATCCATCCGATAGTTGTTAAAATAAAAATAAATTTAACAAAATAGAAAAGCTTGGCATCTAAAGTCAGAGTTTCATAAACCTTTTCATGTCCTCAATAAGTCACACGCACTAGGCCCTGGACAACCATTGATAGTACCCAGCACCAGTATTGTTGCTCTTAAGTCTCTGTTGTTGGAGCTTCACACAAGAACCCAAATCCATCACAGAGGAACAGTATTGTTTAACAACATAACTGAGTAAGGAAGGGCACCTAATCCTTTATATCGTTTACATATACAGTATTCTTGAAAAGTGACGATGGCATAGAGTTTAGCCTCCATAATAAGCTTTTGAATGGATGCATGAATTTATGACTAAAAGAAAACGAGAAAGGAAGAATTTGGTTTCTGTGATGATGGTCAGAAGAAGAGGAGGTGAAGAAGGGGCTAAAAAAAAAGGATGGGTGCACAGATGGGAGTGGTGCTATAGCCAGTACCAACTATGAATAATGGAATCACTACAGTCAGCATGTGTGTGTGTGTGTGTGTGTGTGTGTGTGTGTTGTCAGCAGGTGTAAATTTGCTGGATTAATGCATACATATGTTTATGAATGCCCCATGTGTTTACCGGGAGTGTGTTTTCATGCGTATCATGTTTGTGTACATTGAGTTGAATTGTTTGTGTGTTTGTGTGTATATGTGGGTCTCTGTATGACTAGTGAAACATGAGTGCATGCGGGGGCTGCTTCGTCTGTCTGTTCATACAAACCACAATGTGAGCAATGTGTATGATGTGCGACATGGAATTATGTGTGCACACATCCACTGTGTATGTGCGTGTGTTCCTTATCACTGTAGATTATTTGATGTGTCTGTGTGTGTATATGCAAGGTAGAATGAGATCTGTCACTGTCACTGTGTGTGTGTGTGTGTGTGTGTGTGTGTGTGTGTGTGTGTGTGTGTGTGTGTGTGTGTGTGTGTGTGTGTATACTCTTTCCCCCCTGAGTGAACTCAGTATTGAGTCATAACCCTTTACATCTCAAATGATCCCATGTATTACTCACACTCTTTCAATGTCTTTCTTCTTCTTCTACACTCCTTCACTCTCTGGCCTCCTATATACGTCCTTTTTGATTTTTCCAAACTCTCTTTTTCCTTTCCTCTCTCATCTCTCTTTATCTTCCTCTATCCTCTTACCTCTGTCTTTCCTCTTTCATCTCATTGTCAACTGAGTGTTCACTAAGCCCCGCCCCCTTTAGTTATTGTCGCTACACCTGTTTCCATCCTGCCACGGCACATATGACGTTTACAGTGGCAGATTTAGCACTCGAAATTCTTAATAATTTTTCTTTATAGGTAAAAACAAAGGCAGGCTTCTCATTTCTAGCCAATAACTGCTGAAATGACAGCTGTCACTGGCAGATTAGCTGGCTAACTTAGCTAACATTAGCTCAGAGAGTTACTTGAAAACACCATCTTCAGCTGACTTTTGAATTTTTTTTTAGCTGATTCCTTTTTGTGTAGAAGGCCGATCATGTAGTGCATATGAAATAAAGTTTGTTGCATCGCAATGTAGAGCTAGTCAGTCCTAGTATTCTAATAGAAATCAAACATTAGAATGTTTCAAACAGTAGGTGTCACCGTCTACATTACACAAGAAAAGGCTTTTAGGAGGAGCTTTAACCAATGTGTTGGATGAATGTAATGCTATCTTGGGTAAAGTTTAAGTTCGGTAAGCCTGAACTGCGACAGCATCCATGATCTGGTTCCACACGATGGAAAAACACCACACAATAGCCGAACACACCTTTTAAAAATGTAACCCTAACAAACTGTAGTTAATGAAATGCTCCCTGGCTTTGGAAGTAACGCTCAGTTACTATTGTGGGTTGGAAGTCAGTAAGTCATACATGCTAATGATTGCAGCTTATGTTAGAGCAGATAACCAAACTGTGATATCCATCCCTTACACTTTTGCTCATGTGGTTTTTTTGCAAAAGACACCACCATCCAAACCTTTATTAGAAACCCACGTACACCGCTTCAATGTGTGGAGAAATCCAGATCTTGACAGGCCAGCTGTAGTTGCCGTTGCTATGATTGGACAATAGCTGCTCGGGGAACTGGTTTTGCAAACTGTCATTTCTGTTCAGTTCATTTGAAATAGAACTCAGTATTACATTGTATTGTTAGTAACGATAGTACAGACAGATGACTGGAAATAATGAGGAAAAGAAATCATGAATTCATCATCATGAATTCTCTCCTCCCTCATCCTTCGCTCTTGTCCTCCATGCTGTATGGTAGTTGGAGGTATTGGTATTCCTCTCGTTTCACATTTGACTAAACAATATTTTTATATCCTTTCCAACATTGTCGAGAGCTGGCCGCTCAACCTGATGTGATGCTGGAAATAGCAAATCCAGCCAGTTTTATCCACTGTTGCTGTGACAGCTCACCAATGAACACAATGCGCTTCCACTTCTCCACACCTCCATCACTCTTTCACATTCCTCTCCTCCCTCCTGTTTTTTCTCTGGTGAACCGAAGACTATTTGTGGTGTCAGAGTCAACATGGCTGACAGTGAAGCATATGATGACACAACCAGGTGGAAATGAACACTCTCTCTTCCTCTCTGCCTGTCAGACACAGATGAAGTGTTGAGATGAAGATTATATACTCTGGGTAAAACAGACCAGAAAGAGCCCACACTGATCCACTGATTCCATAGGACAAAAACACATACATTGGAGTCCTGAACATGTTCAAATTAAGTATGTTGTACAACTGGTATGAATTTTCTGATTTGGTGGTTTAATTTATTCATGCAGACATTATAAGCCAATATCAAAGTTGTGTAGCAGCACTAATTACACAGCAGTGAGTCCGTTCAGTTCTATAATGCAGCCCTGCCTCCTTTTTTACATTATTATATCACTAATTGCTGCCTTGATTGTGTTCAGTGGCAACATTTTTTATACCCTTTTCACAGGTGCCTACCTGAGCACTGTGTAACGGTTGCCTCGAACTGCTGTAGCTCGCATGCCTGGGGTGATCACACGTAAAGCGTTTCTGCTGCTGTCAGCCCTATCTTTCTATACAGAGTTTGCCTTTGATAAATACAGTACAATAAAAGCCTAGTTAACATACGAATGGATTCTGTCCACAGAAACGCGAGAGAGCGTTTAATCTCAAAAAGATACAGGAGGTGTTGAGTTTAAAAAATACATTTCTATTTTCTGACATATTCTACAGATAAATGCATTGAAACAGCAGTGAAAGGTTTATTCACTGTCTAGTTTTGCTGGAAACCACGCGCATGACTCGAGCTGAGACGCACGTCTCACGTGGGCAGTGTGGCTGCTCTAATCTGTTAACATGGGCGCCGACATAAAAAACGTTCCACCACGCACTGCAGAAGCAGGCAGTGGGCTTTAGAGGGGGGAAAGTGCTTTGTTTATCTACAGTGCAAGACTTTGATACTGAAGACCACGGTTCACATCCTGTGTGTGGATAGGTTTAGGCAACAAAAGCACTTAGATAAAGGAGAAATAATGCTTTTGGTTAAATGTTAGTGAAGTATCATAACATGTGGTGTCTGGTGTTTCAAGTCACTTTTTACTTTTTCATTATTCAACTAACACAACTATCTTTTCCGAACTTTAATCAAGTGCTCCTCTGAAAACCATTAATAATGCTTTGGTGGCTATAAGCACATTTTAGATTGCAAGAGCAAATACTGAAGGGAAACAAGTTAAATACATTGTAATAGAATACCAATGAGTACAGCAATGGAACACATTCCAATCAAAATTCAAATTCTGACTCTAAATACACTGACAGATCTGATAACAGTGCCATCTCACCTATTTTGTCAGTCTACTAAGACACTGCTCACCCACACACACTGCTATTTTTGAATATCCCCACAGCTTTTTCTTTTCAATTTACTTGTTAAGGTCTGGTTGCGGTGCTCGTCCCCTCAAAACTCTCTGTGCTGCATTTTTGACTTTCCCTTGGGAGCTCCTAATTGAAAATGTCTCAACTGTAGCTGAACTGCTCATTGCATTGCTGTCAGCTGGTGAAAAATGTTATTAGGGCCTGGGGGAAAGTACGCAGCCTCATATAGTCCCACTGAGCGACGTCAACTTGGACAACCATCATCCTTGCAGAGGCTCTTCATCCTCTTCTACAAACGTAATCCTGTTCGTGTTTTGTGATGTATCTTATTTGTTACTTAATGTTAGCTAATAGGATAGTTTTAGTTGTTAATGAGGATCACCTAGCAGTCCTTGCACGCAGCAGTGCTTTGTGTCTGAGCAACAGAAATGACCTCCTGTCTGATTACAGCCTGACAGGGTGAGACTTTCCCAGTTTTAGTAGACTTCTCTAAACACACTCGCCATGCACACTCTCTTATTATGAGGGAGAGCATAAAACTGAAAAGGTTAATTATCTGGAATACACTCACTGAGTCATCTTTCTCCTCGTTATTTAACAGGAAGATCATCGAGGTGAAGATTATTGATGATGAAGAGTACGAGAAGAACAAGGCCTTCACCATCGAGCTGGGAGAGCCTGTTCTGTTGGAGATAGGCCAGAAACACGGTGGGTGTCTTTGTGTGTGTGTCTGTGTGTTCAGAGAGGAGCCAGGAGAGAGAAGAAAACAAGGACAGAGTGACAGACAGAATCTTTATTTAACCACCACAATTGTCTCAGGCCTCCTGCACACCTATCTCTTTATAAACAGGTTGAGACCTGCATTGATTGTCTGAAACCTCCAATTTAAACTCAGATTAACTTGGGAAACATTTTACTTTGAACTGGGGTGGGTGGTTTGGAAAGGATTTAGAAAACACTGGGTTTGTGCTACGAGCTACTTCCTTGTCACATCATGTCGGTTTGCACAGATAACAGCAATAATAACCACATCGCGATCAGACACTCTTCATTACCATGTACATAAATAGGTTTACCATATACAGAATATACATTTTCAGGAAGCTTCTATATTTGTGTCTGAAATCTCTGTGCTATTGCACTGTGGTCACATTTGCAAAGAATTCTGTAAACTAAGCAGCAAGAAAAGAGCAGACTGAATACAATGTGCAGTTTGTTCCTGCCTAATGAACTATTTTGATCAGGTTCCTTTCTCAGTGGCAGCTCTGCACCGTCATTTTCTACATTCTGAATCCACAGTTACCACAGAGCTCAGTGAATCTAAGACATCTAAGTCCTTCAACTTTTTAAGAATGTAGTAAGCTTTAGTTGAAAAAGAATCGTTACAGCAGGTGGACAGCTAATCTTTGGCAGGTAATTCAAGGCTAAAGCCAACCATAGCTGAAAGTCAATAAGTAGTTCCTGCAGCCTGTTCTGCTTTGACTTTTCTGTTCAAATGAATTTCACAAGGTTGAAAGTTTATGAGATGAAAGAAAGGACAAAAAGAGTAACTCTCCTGTCATTTCACTTCACTCCTTTCTTCACTTTCTTTCTCTCCCTCACTGATTTGCTCTCGACTGCAGCTCTGTGTGTTTGTTTGTGGATAACATCTAACCTCGCACACTGATTCTCTACCTGGGGTTTGGGACCCCTACAAGGGGAACACATTAACAAGACATAAACTACAAAAACATATATCTGCTACACCAACTGATCTCTAATATTTGCTTTTTTCTATTAAATTATTGACTTTGAACTGGTCAAAACGGAAAAATACAGTCGTTGATCCCCCATCAGGTTCCTACTTTAGAACAATAGCAGTTGTGTTTGAAGGGGTGCCCGTTATAAACACCACAGGCTAGGCTAACACGCTGCTCGTGCTACACCACCTGTGGAGACACATTGACAGACACCTGGTGGCGTAAGAGTCTACACTCTAGCTGTCACTTATGAAGAGCCAACAGCCTGGGGGATTTTCATTACTGGGGAAATTGGTTTTTATAACACTGTCACATAGCAAGTGGACTGAAATTTACACACATACTCAGCCACACACACACACACACACACACACACACACACACTGTATAACATACTGTACATTGCTTTGCAATTACAGCAGGTCTACACTGATAACAGCTGACTCAATTAATAATTATCACTGTATGAAGAGTGAGTGAGGATTCATATGGATCCATGCAGGGAGGCATGTGGAACATATGGTAATGAAGAGATAGAAAGGTTGTTTCATGGGTGAAAATATGAATTCCTTGTGGGCATTCATATTTGTAATGACATGCAATGCTTAATAGCTTTGATTTCCCATATGGCACATCAGTGTTTGAATATTAGCATTTACATTATAGACTTTCACAACTGCTTGCACACATTCTTAAAGTGATAACAATGAATTCTATGTATGCTGCTCTGGCCAAAATCAGACAAATGAAAACCTTATACACCGATCAGCTATAATATTGTGACTGAAGTTAATTAAACACTTATTATCTGGTTTCATGGCTCCTGTCAGTGGGTGGGTATATTAGGCAGCAAGTGAACATTTTGTCCTCAAAGATGATGTGTTAAAGCGGGAAAAATGGGCAGTGTGAGGATCTGAGCAACTTTGACAAGGGCCAAATAGTGAGACTAGGCTAGACGACTGGGTCAGAGCATTTACAAAACTGCAGCTTTTGTGGGGTGTTCCCGGTCTGCAGTAGTCAGTACCTATCAAAAGTGGCCCAAGGAAGGAAAAGCGTTGAACTGGAGACAGGGTCACATGCTGGTGCACGTTGGGAGCGAAGGCTAGCCCATCCTACAGACGAGCTACTGTAGCTCAAACAGCTGAAAAGGTTAATGCTGGTTCTGATAGAAAGGTGTCAGATGCCACAGATCAGTCAGGGTGCCCAGTTGGTCATAATGTTATAGCTGACCGGTGTATAATACATGATTTGAGTTCAAATGCCATGCAAAAACTGAATTTAAAAAAATCATCAGCCACATGAAAACTGAAAACACATGGTTACATGATGCCATATTCACCACAGGAAATTACTTACCAAGGAGGAAGTCTACATTTCTGAATAAAAGTTTGTGTAGACATGACCCCAGTATCCTCAATGGTAGTACAAAAAAGTGTCTGTAATTGATTTCCTTTAAGTTGGTACCATAACCTCTGCACAGTTACACCAACCATACTAGCCCACTGACCCATTCATCTCTGTGGTCTCCTAGGTGACTCCAATGAGAACAAGCCATTGGTGGGAGCAGAGGACGAAGAAGTGGCCAAGATGGGATGTCCCAGTCTGGGCGAGCACACACAAGTAGAGGTGATCATAGAGGAGTCCTATGAGTTTAAGGTAAGTGTGTGCGTTTGTGCACATCTCCATGGACATGAATGTGTGTGTGGATGTATGTAAGTGTTCCCTCTCATTTTGTACTTCAGAAGCTCTTCAGAAAGAATCAGCAGCTAATCATTTCAATTTTAAGTCTTGTTGAAATAAGTACCAGTTTGGCAGCCATCAAGATTAGTAAAGTGACTCAAACTGCAAATTCCATCTAAAATGATTCAAAGTGAGAGTCAGCTGCCCCGGTTCAGAGCATAAATTATTAATTTTGTTAGCATGTAATGGATTCTCTAATGAGATGCTTGTCATTTTGATAGCAGACAACAAATAATTTATTCAAAGTGAGCTGTCATCTTGTTTCAGTACAAAACAGGCATTAAAAGAAAGGAGGTTGCTGGTAGACCATTCATCCAGCAAATTAGAAAATACATTGACTCAGTCATCTAGTAAATATTGGATATTCGAAGGAATGCGTTTTCAAACTTGATCAGTTTTCAGTTTAGCCACGGATAATTACAGATTCTTCTTGTGAGCAGCACACAAAACACCAACAAACTAGAGGTGTCCGTTTGATGTTCAGCTTGGTCGTGCTTTGCTTTTATTCTGCTAATTCCCACATGATTTTGCCTCTAATCTGTGATTTTGTTTTTGTAACCAATCATACTGTTTTTGTGTTGCATATTTCATTTGCTCATTTGTCCATCTGTGTTGTGTTTGTGTGTTTGTGTGTTTGTGTGTGTGTGTGTGTGTGTGTGTGTGTGCAGAGAGCAGTAAATGAGCTTATTTGGCGGGCTGACAAGGTTATCTATCTTTCTCATTCTGAAATTGTGCCTGTGCATGCAATGGTAGCTCTTCTATTACTTCTATCTACTTCTGTACAATACTGAAATGTTACAATGGTGTCTGGGTCCAGTATCACATTCTATTAATCTCCAAATTCTTAGACGTCACCCTGTATTGACATCCATTTGTGATTTATCTTATTGTGACTGCTAATATACAGTCAGTTCTGTGTTTTCTATGTCGTCTTTGATTTAGATAGTAAATCATGAATGATTTTATCATCACAAAACCCTGTAAGCTGAGTTATGATAATCACTGCTGGTGCGCTGCTCTATTGCGGCTGCGAGCTGTTTTGCATCAACATCTTTTATTATTCCCCTTCCTCTGTGCTTCAAACCAAAACCTCAACCAGTCTGCCTGCAGGTTTTTCCTAGATTTCACAGGGAGCATCACTGCCAATTTCACAGCATCGTATTAATTAGCACATCCTATACCTCGAATCCTCAGTGTTATGAAATACTGACTTTTGAAATGTATCTTGCAATGTGGAAGCTAATTGAAAGGTTATGAAAAAAAGCATTTTCCCCTATCTGTGTGGCTGCGAGTGAATTAACAACTTGAGGGTTGTGTCTTTCCTGTTGCACTTGCATGTTTGCTTGTGTGTGTGTGTGTGTGTGTGCGTGTGTGTGTGTGTGTGTGTGTGTGTGTGTGTGTGTGTGTGTGTGTGTGTGTGTGTGTGTGTGTGCGCGTGTGTGTGTGTGCAGAGTACAGTAGATAAGTTGATCAAGAAGACAAACCTGGCCTTGGTGGTGGGAAGCAGCAGCTGGAGGGAGCAGTTTGTCAATGCGGTTACCGTCAGCGCAGGTAATACACACACACACACAGGACACAAGACATCATTTTGATTTATGTTGATTTATGAACAGTGGTTTTGGTTGACAACTTTCTTGACTCTACTTCGAAAAGATGATGGATGACGAAAGAGTACATTTCTTAAAAGTATGCATCATCATTTTATTTGGAACCTTTTCATGCATTTCTTTTAATCTATTTATTCAGTTACGGCTGTTACTGAAATACCAATATTTCCTCTGTTAACACTATTCTTTAGTCGTGCTTTCTATTTTGGGAAATGTGCTTATTTGCTTTCTTGCAGAGAGTTAGATGAAAAGATCAATACAGGAAGAAATTTACTGTATGTTAAATTGAACTAGAATTGAACATTAAAATGTCAGAGAGTGATTGGCATTCTACAGGCAGAAGGCAGCAGACTTACCACTAGCTCTAAAAGATGGAGGGAATTCAGATAGAAGAATTTAATCCCCTTTTTTATTACACAGCACATAAAAATAAACAGCAGGAATACCGGAGAGAGTGTGGGCTGCCAATCACTCCCATGTTTTGCGGTCATGCATAAAAATACAAACATTCTGGGACAGGGTTATTGACATTCTTGAGGAGTTTTTATACTAGAAGATTACCAGTTACCATTACCATTGTGTGCCTGGAGTTGATATCCGGTGACATAATTAAACGGAAGGACATCTAATGTATCTCTTCAACATTCTGATACTTGCATGTGAAAAGGCCATCACAAGCAGATGGTTGAAGTCCAGGACAGTAGCTAGACTTTGTTGAGGAAATATACTTGTTTACCGTAGCTTAGCATAATAATTGTAAAGTTTTAAAGATACTCCTGCTAACACCTCTGAGACGGCATCTCAAGTAGGTGCCCAGCCAAGAAATAGCTAGAGCACGTACCACAGTAACACCACGATTAGTGTTGACAGGTGGAAGTTTTTACCTTTGTACGGAGCCAGGGTAGCTGTGAAGCTCTAGTCTAGTCGTTATGCTAAGCTAAGCTATGAATTGTTCTTCTCTTTCTCACTCTGCCTTTGGTTTGTTTAGTGCATAGTATAGTTTTGTCCACTCACCTTTCTCCTTTCAATTGTCTCTCTTCTCTTCCTCTATCTGTCTCTTTCTACAACTTCTGAATCCACTACACCCAAAGGAGACGACGACGAAGAGGAGAGCGGCGAGGAGCGGCTGCCATCTTGCTTCGACTACATCATGCACTTCCTCACTGTCTTCTGGAAGGTTCTGTTCGCCTTCGTCCCCCCCACGGAGTACTGGAACGGCTGGGCCTGCTTCATTGTCTCCATATCGCTTATTGGCGTCCTGACAGCAGTCACCGGTGATCTGGCGTCACACTTCGGCTGCACGATAGGACTGAAGGACTCGGTGACGGCTGTGGTGTTTGTGGCGCTGGGAACCTCGGTGCCAGGTGAGTGGGAGTGGTTGGATGTATGTGTGGAGTGATGAAGGCAAACTGTTTTACATTTCTGTCAGGTTATACACTTCCTTACTGATGATAACATTCAAGCCTCTTTTTCAACCAGAAGAAAGAGTACAAAACATAAAGGGAGATGCATTTTTCCCCCTGATTTTGAATAGGACATAGAAACAAACAAATTCCATCTCATTTCAATAGCAGCTGCTCTCAGTAACCAGGCTGGAAATCAAAATTGAATTGTAAACCGCCGGCTCCATCACGGCCTTCAGCCTGAGCTTGTCTCCGCCTGGAGGGGACGCATTGTCCCGGGGCTTTAATTCAATTCCATTTCTCATTCCTCTCGTCAGCCGTTTTATTGTTGCCCCTCCGTATGATTTATAGAAATAGCTCCTTTGCTACTCTTCCAGGCGGTAACTTTGACGGCTTGCAGCGAGGTCTCTGGAAAGTAGTGTTAGAATCAATTCCCTCAGCAGCCGTATTATGGTGTGTGCTGGATTTGGAAGCTGTGAACACAGATTTGATAACCATTATCAGTGTGTGTTCCCTGTCACAAGACATGTTGATGTTTATTTTTCCCTTTTTCCTGTTCAGTATCTCTTTTATTCTTTATCTTTTTCACTCACGTTCCCAATTTTCTCTCCCTCCTCTCTCAGCCTCTTCATACGTTCCTCCCTCACACTCTCATATCCCACCTGACTTACGCCTGCTCTTGTGCCCCATCCTGGTCAATTTATTATTCTGACTTGGTGTTACCTTACCCCTCTCTCTCTTTCTCTCTCTCCCCTCCTCTTATTGGCTTTTATGTTTTCACTATTGTATCATCCATCATTCTGACCTGTGTGTGCTGTGGTACGCAGGTGTGTGTTTGAAAATGGGTTTGCGCTGGCGAGGTGATGCAAGTTTGCGTGTGGCAAGTCCCACAGGTCATTATAACTTCCACTGGGAATGTGTGCTCCCCTGTGTGTGTATTGTGTGTGTGTGTGTGTGTGTGTGTGTGTGTGTGTGTGTGTGTGTGTGTGTGTATGATTGTTATCTCATTAAAGCTTGTTAGAAACATTTATCTCATCTATCTTTTCCCACTTTCTGACTTGCACCCTTCCCTCCTCCAGATTCATAAGCATTCCTGCTTTATTACATCGGAGACACGCTCGAGGATTATCCAGCCAATTTACACCAGATTTGCCGATTCAGGCAATTAGAGTGCAAATGCTGATTGGAGGCTTGGTTTGTACACTGTGAACTACTAAATGTTTCTGGCTGAGGTTTATGGAGCTCATTTGTAACCATGTGAGGCATTTAAATAGTAAGTGGTGTTTGATATTGCGTTGGTGGTGAACAGGTCCTGCAGAGATCACAGACTCTCATTGGTCTTGATCTCACACACTGGTGCCACGCCGCCTTGAGTCTTGACTTTTTCATTGCCATCACGTTCAAGATATTGCACATGAATGTTAAAGGGTCAGTCCAGCCTGATAAAACATTTCTGCCGCAGTACACTGAAGGCACATAGACAGTTTTATTTGGAACTGCTTTCTACTGAAGAAACAGTGACAGGGTGTTTATGAATTATCCACAGTAACAGGAACAGTGTTTAGCCTGATGATGCAAGTGAATTGCCATTTTGTTTCTCATTAAGTCTAGACATTCTGTTCATTTTACTCGTTATTTTTCCCTAAAAAGTTATTAAATGACATATTCATCACATGTAAAGCCCTTTCCAATCTACTGAACGCTGTGGTAGTGGTTGCTAGGAGCAACTAATGTGTGTGTTGTGTTGTGTGTGTGTTTCTGGCGTTGTTGTTTCAGTAACAGCTAGTGTAAGGGATTCAAGTGAGAAATTCATAATCTCCAGTTGCTAATTCCACAATTGCTCTTTTAATTTCAAATTTGGGGGGGTGGCTTGTTTGCTGTCTTACCAGGAGGTAGATGGGAAATCAGTTTCATCTCTGTGTGAGGGACATATAAGCTTGCTGCAGGGGCTGGAGTTGTGGTAAGCTTCTGTAAAAAAGAGGAGTAATACACCATCTAGTAACTCCAAAATTGTCATAGCCGGCTTGCTACTATAATACACTACTATATAATACATTTAATATTTTGGAAGGAAGGTAATTTAGGACTGGGAAAGAAATATTGATGAACTTGGTGAATGCACAGTGTGCGATGCAATGGGTTCCTAAATTTGGGTATGATCTTCTTCTGTGTTGCCAGCATCAGTTAGAACAGGGTGGGCATCATTTCTTCTTGTGTGGCACCAACAGGATTACCATTCACCCCCCTAAGAAACTTTGAGGGGTATTTTCTTCCATGCTGGGATATGAATTTTCACAAATCTCACTGCCATTCAAATGAGAATTGAGACTCATCTCACCAGCCCGTCTAAAAATAGAAATAAGCCGAGACAGGCGTACAATAACTGGCAGCTGTTTCCCTGGCGTTCCCTGCCAACCCGGTTGTACAGTCTCTGCGCTTTTCACCCAATTTCTCCTCCAGTGTTCAGCACCACAGAGCTCCACTCATGTACACCTACAGCATTTTACAGCATTTACTACATCTGTTCTGTCTTAGGCTTAGTATACAACTGCGGATTACAGAACGGAGCTCTTCCTGAAAACAATCCAAGTCAAATGTATCTATTTAATTTCCAGAATGTAGATGAAAAATAAGAGTGTATATCACGGCAAGCAGCTAAGCCTCTTAAGACAGTTAAGACAAACTTAAATGTAACATAAATTATTTCAAATGTTTGTCTCTAAGTCCAAATGAACGTAAATACGTAGCGATTTTTGCTAACTGAATGGGTATTTACAGGGTTAGCCAACTAACTGCGCTAATAACAAGCATGAATAGTTTAATGTTTATGTGTGTGTGATTCTACTGTCTGAAGTGAAGCTACAACAGCTAATTAAAGGGCCTCTTTTTGTGATTATTTTCAACTCAGAGCCAAGCCTTGGAAATGTTTCAAGTAAAATTTAAGTTTATTTTGAAATAAATGCTGCTTGCCCCTATAAATTGTTTTGTGAATCTCTACAATGGATGCAAATTTAGCACAACCTGCAGTCAGACCCATTGTGAGAATAAGAAAAACAGAATGTCTCTTTAAGATTGGCGAGAAATGCACGAGCACAAACAATTCATTCAATTAAGTTCTGTCTCTTCAGTGTCTCTCAGTATTCTCTTTGCTCTCCTTGCAATTTTTTATCTGTAGGCTGTATTGTTTATCTTTGCCCTCGTTTCTCTGTCTCTAACAGTCATCCATTAAAAGTATATATATATATATATATATTTCATATATATAAGTATAATTATTTGTGGTGCCATGATCTTTCTACACTTCTTTGCATCTCTTTTGCGATTCTCTTTGCGTACAGTCCATGTTTCCCTCAGTACTAGAGAATATGTCACTGGTTTCATGCTCTATTTTACCTTGAGGTTTTTTCTTGAGAAAGACATTTACTAGGGCTGCCCCCGACTAAGGATTGTTCTAGTCGAATAGTCATGCTGTGTCTTCAAGCAATGTACAGTGTAACATCACACAAGTCTTGTGTTATTTAAAACTCAGGATAAAAAACTCCCAACTTCACTAAAACAAATACTCACAAACTTATTGATACGATGGATGATGTATAACGCTAACTCGCTACAAACTCGCTACAAACTCGCTCCTTCCTCCGTTTTATGCCTCTCCTGTCCCTGCCTGAACCTGCTGTGTCTTCATCCCCAGAATAGTCCTAGTCTGAGCTTTCTGGCCTCTGTTGATATGCCCTGCTCCCCTGGCAGTATTCCCCGCTGAAATCCCTCGCTCTTACATTAGTAGTGCTTACTGTCCAGTCCAATTACAGTCAGCTAAAAGGACTGCCAACTAGCTAGTGGCAGCTGCTACTACAGTCAGCAGTAAGAGACTCCCTGTGTTACAAGAGCAAAGGTCCATGTTGCAACAAATCCCTAATGCGTAGTGGGTCGACTATGACTCTTCTCATTTCAACGGTTAAGTCGACTATTAGTGGGCAACAACATTTACAAAAGTTATTTTCATGAGGCTCATTCCATATTATTGCTTCACATTATTTGATTATTTTGACCACAGGTTGGTGGTTTATTTCTATGTTTCCTGCAAAGTTAAAAAATGCCCCATTGGCTTAAAAACATAAAATTAATAATTACAGTAAGAATAAGAATCTTTTAAAATACAGTATCAAAGATGCCGAAGCCTTAAAATTACAGTAAAACTTTTGTCTTCCTCATCCAGACACATTCGCCAGCAAGGTCGCCGCCATCCAGGACCAGTACGCTGACGCCTCCATTGGCAACGTCACTGGCTCCAACGCCGTCAACGTCTTCCTTGGCATCGGCGTGGCTTGGACCATCGCCGCCGTCGCCTGGCGCTCCAAGGGCAAGGCGTTCAAGGTGGATCCAGGAAACCTGGCCTTCTCTGTCACCCTCTTCACCATCCTGGCCGTGGTGTGTGTGATCACACTGCTCTACCGGCGGCGGGCGACGGTGGCCGGCGGCGAGCTGGGCGGCCCGCGGACTTGCAAGCTGATAACGTCACTGATGTTCGTCTCGCTGTGGCTGGTTTACATCCTGCTGGCTTCACTGGAGGCCTACTGCCATTTACCAGTGTTTTAAATGGAGAGGAGAGGGGAGGGAGAGAGACCTACTGCCAATATGAAGAGAGAGAGAGATGGAGGGATGGAGGAGACTTCAAAGAGGGATGCGACAGGGAGAGATGGTTAGTAGAGGTGGATCGACAAGGGCCAAGTCTGACATTTTCATGGAGTCAACAGATCTTTACATTTTCTTTATTTAAAGTCCAAAACAACTTTTAGTGTCTCTGATAGACTTTTTTTCTCTTTACATTTCTTTCTTTCCTGAAAAAGACCAAAACATAAAACTCTCCAATGTGTCCAAAAAATATGTTTTTTAGCATTAGCAGCTCTTTTAGGGTAGGAGACCCACCATCGATCCAGTGATGAAGAAACCTCTAGGATACATAGAGCCTCTAAATTAAGAAATATTTAACTCAACACATTAATGAAAGGTTTTAAAGAGCCTCATCACCAGTGGATGACACTGTTTAATAGTTAATAAAAAGCTGATACCGTTCCAGCATACTGCCAAACCAGCAGGAGAGAGGAGCTGTTAGCCGGAAGGTGAAGAAGAGGTTGAAAGGTAAAAGTGGAAAAGTTGAGAGGAAGCTGGAGGCAACCAAACCAGAAGAAGTCTGTGTCAAGTTGATGGAGAGACTAGAGAGAAAACAACACAGGAGAAAGTAAAAAAGGTAGATGGGTAAAAATATTCGACACCCCCTCCTCACTCTCTCTATCGCTCCCTCCATCTTTACTGTATCTCGTCGTCACGTGAACAGTGGATCCTCCCATTACACCCACTGAACTCTATCTAATACTATCAGTGACTTACTTTTAACCCCTCTTCCCTGAACTGCACACACACACACACACACACACACACACACACACTTTGGGGCCCTCAGGTGAATCTGCAGTGGAGGACCACGCACTAACTTGTGGGCGAACAGGCAAGATAAAGACTGATAACCTCTTTTTGTCTTGATCTTTTTTTTCCTTCATTTCTGAATACACTGTGCAAAATAGTCCTTCCTACAACACACACACACACACACACACACACACACACACCAGATACTGTACACTCCCTTTCCTACGAACACCATACAGACTGTACACACTCCTCTGTCCCTCCCTCTTGCCTTACTCCCATCTCCCCTGTAGAAATTGTCTCAAAGTTGTGATAAAAACGCTGTAGTCACCAACCAACCCTCTTTTTAATTGAGCCAATCCCAAGTCCCTCTCCTTTTAAGCCAATCAACAGCCTTGTTTATCCCACATAGGAAACGTACCCTCCTCCTTTTTTTTTTCTAATCTTTTCAATGGCGTCACGTGTTGATGTTGTTACCGTGCAATTGTAAAAAACAAAAAACAAAAAAAAACTAAAGACAAATATAGTCTGGCGAGATGGAGAGAAAGAAAGTTAAAGTAGTATTTTTGGAGGATGGGGTGTTACTAAGGATGTTGATGAGCAGACTTAAGATTAGAAATGTAAGTCTGAAGGACCAACAAGTAAGCAGTCCACCTAGAGATATTTGTCTTTCTTGTAATGAAGAAGCATTGTGCAACACACATTGTTTACAGTCTAAAGTTGCATTAAATGGCAAGGAATATGTGAACGCCAAGAGACATCAACGAACAAGACAAAGGTGGGACCAATCGGAATGAAGGATCTCACTGGTGACTTGACAACGACTGTGAAGAAGAGGACGATGACAGTGTTGTTGATGACAAATCACAACTATGACCATACCCAGTGTTTCTAATTGTACATGATAATATAAGAAACTGTTATTGATGTGTGTGAGAAAAACACTGATATTTAATTTATGTGAACTCCCCCCTCTTTGTAAGGAAAACCCTGGAGGAGGAAAGGGAAGATCGATGTGCCCCTTTTTCCTCTGAAACACAGTTTAAGAAGACATTTTAAGGAAATCCATCACAAGGGAAAAAAGGCTATACGGCTGACGGTGATCGCAAAACCAGACACGACTGGCAGACGGAGAGAGGAGTTGAGTGCTCTGAGGGAAATGTACGGCAGCTCTGAAATATCATGTTGTAACGTTGTGACGTTTCTTTGTACGCAAAACAAAAATCATAAGCCTCTGTTATCCAAAGATTTAATGGAAGAATACTGTCACAGATCACCATTCATTTTCAGAGTGCAATTTTACCTTGCAGCATTGTATAAGTCCCACAAGCTAAAAAAAAAAAAACTGGCAAGTTTAAATTTATAAAGTTCACACTACAGATGAATATGCTTAACCATTGGTATTATTTATGAGGTTGAGCCTTTATCAAAAGCTGTGCTATTTATTTTGTGTTTGTGAAAAGTTTGTCGATTCAGGCATGGTTGTGAAAGTAAAAGTAAGATATCAGAGTAGCTTAAAACATGAAATTAACCATTCTGTTATTATTTGTCTGTCTGAGAAAGTGTCAAATCCAGATTTACATTATGTAATGTTATGTTAAATATTCCTGCCCAGTGGCTTGGGCTGAAGCAGGACAGAAGGGACGGCATATGGCTTGTCAGTGTAAATGATTGTTAAATGTATTCCCCTTGTTAACAACAGCATAGAAGGACAAACTCTGCAGCCATTTCGCCCGCAACTGCCCACAAAGCTGTTTGTACACTTCTGAGAGAAAATCCTGAGAGAAAACAATAATTTAGCTTTTTGTTATATCCCTTTTCACTAAAATGGGACTGAAAACAACAATTTACCTGCCCACGACCCGTCTTCTTAAATATGGACAAATTAGCCGCTGCTTTCATCTCAGTGTAAATGCAGGCTCAGTCGTGACCAGGCTGAACACACACCAGCTTGTCTGACGCGGCCTTGCTAAGGTCAGTTCTCGTGCAAATAGAAGATAAGTGACGATTTAGAGCATAGGGGCATTGATCTGTTACACCTTCCCTCAAATGTGACATTTTAAATGCCACACCAGTTGCTTTCACTTTCTGACAGCTGTAAAGGAAAGGAGAAAGTGGATTATTCCCAACCCTAATGGTAGAAAATAGGTGAACAATAGTTTTCCAGCTTAGAGTTACTGCATCAGCTGAGTCCAGGCTCAGCCAAGATTCACTGATAGAAGGAGTTTGGCCTCCTGCCATGATGCTCCTGATCTATTTCAAAAGAATATTTCTTGGCTTCAAATATTTAACTTTGCTGTCTATAAATTAGACCCAGATTTCTAACTCACAGAAGAGCTGCTCTGGAGCTCAGAGGGAAGACTCTTCAGCATGTTGGGTGCTTACAGGGCCATAGCCAAGATTTTAGAGGTACTGAGGTCATGAGTCCCCAATGCAACCCTACCTTCCAAATGTATTTTTTATATAATTAATACATTTTTATTCTTTTTGATGGCCTGAAGGTAAAATTTAAATATATTAAGCCTAACATGACTATAAGTCTACAACCAAAACAAAATAGTTTTGAAATTATTTTGTCATTGAATGTCTGCATTAAATTTAATGGAAATTCATTCAATATTTGTCGAGACATTTCACTCAAAATCCCAGATGTCAACCTCATGGTGGCGCTAGATTGAAAAGTTGAACAATCACCAAAGTCAATAGGATTTATCCTCCTGGTAACATGAATGCTTCTACTAAGTTGCATGGCAGTCTATCCAATAGCTGTAGAGCTGTTTCATTCTGGATGTGGTGGACTGACCACTCGGTATTGTCGTCCCTAGAGCTATGCTAGCAACATGACTACAAACACTGGAATCAGAATGTTATCTTCCCCCACAAATCTCTAAAATACAAAAGACATGACCTCAGTGTCTTCAGTCGCAGCTACAGCCCTGGATTCTTGTTGACATGACGTTTGACTCTGTATCACCCAGCTGACTAACCATCCAGATCCTCATTGTCTCAGCTTCCTCAGTCGTTTCTGTAGCACTCAGCACATCCTAAAACACAGTGAACCCACCATGAAGAGGGTCATCAGCCAGTTTTACAAGACTGGCATGGCTCCTGGTCTGCTGAGACGGCAGGACGCACGCCGGTTCAGACTGTATTTCTCAATGACTTAAGCTCCTGTAACAGTTGCCAGTTTAAGAATGAGTGGGCAGGATAATAGTGCTGCTGACGCCACAGGAACACAAGAATACTGGGCCTGATTTAGAAATTCTGGCTTTTTAAAGGTTGATAAGCCTAGCTGGAAAACGGCTGAGTGTGTGTCTGCGTGTGTGCATGCTTTCTAAGCGAGTGAAGAAATGCAACCATATTTTTAGTCTCTTGCCTGTTGCTTAGCGACCATCTATCTGTAAGCCGTTGTCTTCTTGACTGTCGCTGGTGTGTGTGAGACATTGTGTGTGTGTCATTCTCTTTTGATGTTGTCTCTCTCTGCTCGCCCTCCTTCGTTTAGTGACTGTGACAATATAGTTTCTCATTCATTTCTCTCTCTCTCTCTCTCTCTCTCTCTGCGGGTGAATTTCCACATGTATTATCATCATCATATGTTCATTTCATGTTCATCATGTGTTTCTTTTACTTTATGATCCTTGTGCCTCCCCTTGTTTGCATGTGTATCCATTGTGTGTAGATCTGCATGCGTATTTGTGCCTTTGTTTGAGTGTGTGTCGGTTGGTGTTGTAATCTCCTTATAAAAGGGCTCGCCCAGTGTGTCCCTGGCTGAGTCCCATACGCTAGATTAATGAATTAGAATGCCAACCTGACCCACAGTAAAAGACTGGAAATTGGATTCCCTCCCTTGTGTGTGTGTGTGGGAGAGAGGCAGGTAGATTGTACCTGGTACGACTCCCTTGCCAGCCGTGTGTGTGTGTGTATATGTGTGTGTGTACCTGTCAAAAAAGATTAGATATATAATAGATCTGGCTGTCGATCAAGACTGGGAATAGATGGTGCTTAAATAAGTGTGTGTGTGTCCAGTATGTGAGAAACTGTCATATTGAGGTCGCAGACTCCATTGGCTGATGGCTAGATGTGGACACAAGTGTTAATTTATACTAATGTACAGTACGCGCAGAAACACAGATCAATATGGGAATTAATCAAGCCACACACAGACACACACACACACACACACACACGCAGTGCTCGGTAGTGCTGGTGTTTTTTTATTTTTATTTTACAGTGTATTAATGGAAGCTGTGTGACAGAAACTACATATTTCCAAGTAATGTCACGCTTCAGTTTGGTTAAAAACTGACTACGATGGTGGCCTGAGATGAAATGTTTGAGGTATGAAGATTATATTGTGGTAAACCTGGAGGTTGTCATATTTACATAATCCTTTTAACAATGTCTGTTTCTTACTGCGTGTCCTCTGGTTTTGATTTTCCAACATCACAAGAGTGAAATGTCATGAATGCAAAGCAAAACAGATTACAGTGTTTGTCAGATTTCAGAGCCACCCTTAGCCACACTCTTATTGGCGCCACCATCTGTTCTCAGCTCTAGTAGGCTAATTCATGAAAAAAGGGAATTCATCAAATTCCAAACATACTGATGAATAATACTCACCATGTTTATATTTTTAATTGTTGAATGTCACCTTACAATTTGCTAAAACCCCAAATATCCCAAAACAACTACCAAGGACGTGACCTCAGTGTGCGCAGTGTTAGCTACAGCCCCGATGACTCTTCCTCACAGTGATCAGTGCTGCTGAATGCTTTCAGACATGTTGACATATAATGTAAAGGATTTGTTCTCTGAGCACGTTTGTAAAGATCCACTATTTACATTATTTGTACTAACAGACTGGAAAACATCCTCTGTGTGTGTGTGTGTGTGTGTGTGTGTGTGTGTGTGTGTGTGTGTGTGGGAGTGAGAGAGAGAGACATTTAAACCCACATACGTTAATCAGCCACTATCTATTTATAACTCTTTCTTTATTTTGAACCTTTTTTCCTCTCCACTATTAGCCACTCTATTGCTCTCTATCTTATAAATATTTATATATTTTATCACTTAATATTAATTTTATTCATATATCATGCAGCCCTATTTTTGAGGTCACAAAGTGCTTTTGATATAAATATCTGGTGTTTTTCATTTTTCCATGTATTTTATTATTGTTATTATTATTTTGTTGCATTTGTTTCCACTGTTTTGTGTTGTTTTGGTGGTTTGTTTTGTTTAAAAAAGACCCTCAGAGTAGAGCAGCAAATTAGCATAGTAAGAAATAAAAGTGAGTGTGCTCTTATCCTTCTTATCGAGAGTGTGTGTGTGTGTGTGTGTGTGTGTGTGCGTGTGTGTGCATGCGAGTGGGGACGCGTGCATTTCTTCATATCATTCCATCCACGAGTGTGTCGATGCATGAATTAAACTCATTCTGAATACAGTGTTGATGTTGGAAATGTCGTAGTAAAGAGTAAGGTATTTTTAAATGATGAAAATGACATGACATGAAAAATGATATAGGTGTTTACAAAGACCAAACCTTTTTTTTCTCTTGTTTTTTTTCTCAAAGATGAAATAAAACTTGACTGGCAAATGCTCAGAAGAGTGTCTGTATCTTTTCTACAAATGGAGGGGAAATCTTAGCTCAGTTAAGGTTGAGGATATTTTTCAAAATGAAGATGCTAATTTCAATAAATCCTCTGCAATCAGCAAATGGACTGCAGTATGTAATCATTTTTGGATTTAACAAATTAGCCTGTTGGTGAATTAGCAACCGTCCTGTTTTATGTTCGTATTTGCAAGCCTCTCACATGTGACACAGATTCAACATATGGCCAGCTGACCCATGTCTGGACAGGCAGATGTCGGATTTCTGTGACCTTAAAGGATTGGTTCACATCTCAAGTCTGTCTTAAAAAAAACCACACACACGCCCATCTGTACATTGCAACAGTTTGTGATTGTTATTGTTGTCCATACTGGACTAGAAGAGATCCCTTCCAATGTAACCAATGGGGGTCAAATCCACAGTTCTTGTTCTAAACAGCAAATGGACTGTATTTATATATAGCGCTTTGCAGTTTGCCATTCACATGCACAAGGTGAGCCCAATATGCTAGCCTGACCATCAGGAGCAATTTGGGCTTCAGTGTCATGCCCGAGGACAAGAGGCACCAGGAACAGAGTCCTACCTTCTGAGCCACAGTCCACACTACTCTACCTCTTACATGCTCTACCGCTGAGCTGCATCCTCCCATTCATTCTTTGCAAAAATGAAGTTCAGCTGAAGCTTATATGCAGTTTCAGTAGCCTGAATTAGTGAGATTTAGTCAAATCAAGTGATATTTCTTCCAGGTCTTCTTTTTAGCATTAAATTCTGTATTTGTGTTATCACAACTCAGCAAGGAAACGGAATGAAAGGGAACTTACTTTTACACAGAACGAGGACTATGGATTTAGTCTCTCAACCAACAATAAGGTACAAAAGTTGTGGTGTCCTTTCTTATAGAGCCTACAGTATAAATCTCTGAAAACAAGACCAAGAGTCAACAGCAGTGCTTTGAGTTATGTTAATGCCGGCATTCTAATGTGCTGATGTTTAGCAGGTTATAACAGTAGTTTCATTCTCCAGCAGATAAGTTATATATTATAATATAAAAACATGGTGGCGTTCTGCCAGCGTTATCGCATTACACTGGGCTGTTAGGAAAATTACCACTTGACTGAATAAAAGAGGTCACAGCACAATAAAGGACACTGTCAACACAGAGATGATCGCTTACTGTTTGATACCAAGCTTCATTTGATCTGCTATAATGTTCTGAGTCATTTCCACTTCAAATACACTACCAGAATGCCTGTGTTTGTGTCTGAGTCTGTGTTTGTGTTTGTGTTTGTATGCCTGCTACAGTCCAGTGATTATAAATCTTAAATTATCTGAAGAAATTATCTGATTAACTCTCCAGGGAATAAGCAAAGATTTGGCAAAACAGAATATCCTGATGTCTGGCTATCTTAGATCTTTTTTTGTCAGCATCGTATCAACAGTTTTTACAACAAGATGACACATGCGTGATCAGGAGAGCCTGAGCATGAATGTCATGAACAGGACCGAATTCTAATTTACTTTCCAGTCTCAGGGTGTGACATAGTGATGTTGCCAGCTGCGTGAACACTTGAATAAACAAGATAATGAGCAGACACTGAGGAATGTTAAGAAAACTAGGCACAAATATGTTTGCCTCAACAACTTGTTATTCTCTGTATGTTTCTGAGGGGGAAACTAATAGTAATTTGTTCTGCTTAATTCAGTGTCTGCAGCGTGTTCACAGCAGTGCAAACATCTCCAACTCCTCGACCAAATCATACATTTTTGTTACATCTGGCGTGGCTTAACCTGGCTCAATTTGTTTCAGTAAGAATACACAATTAAAGGGGTACAGTTTACACATAAAATGTCAGTGTGTACAACTCAGTCTGGGTAAATAAAGTTGTATAATGTATTCTGTGGCTCATAAGGGCGCTTTATAAAGTTAGAACACCTAACCCTGATGATGTCGCAGTCATGGCATTAGGGTTATCTTGGTTTGGTGCTCCACAAATAATCAAATATTAATCATGATCATGATTTCGGCTTCCCACAATTAAATGAACGTGATTGTCTACGTTGTTGATGTTTAAAATGCGTGCTCAGCTCATAGAAAACTCTGCTGTATATCAAATCAAGCACTTCTTAAACTAATAGCTAGCCACCATGGGTGATCGGGATGTTCTAGTTTCACTTTTAGGGAGCTGTCCTGTCTGATTCCTGAATTTGCAGCTTCACATTAAAAGCATTTAACTGGTGAAACCCCGAGTTGATTTTTATGTTAGTGTTTGTCAGTTGGCCACTGTCATTCAACAAAAATGCATATAAACAAGACAACAGTCATTTTCTGAATTTTCTGCCAGTAAATCAGTTTGAAATATGTCAGAGAGTAATGAGACAAGAAGGAACAGCCACAGTGAGCTGTTAAAGGAAGAGCTGCTGGCGACACACTGCACACCTCCAACTTCTCAGCCAGGAAAGCAAAGTTACTTTCACTGTCACTGTTCACAGACTCATGCTGTCTGCAGCATAAAATCAGACCACAGTTGCTCACAGAATGATGGAAAAAGAGCAACTATTGCTGACTACTTTATCAAAACAACAATAAGCCATTTTGCTGCCTCCAGTGTTCTTAGCCTGTAGTATTAACCAGGTGTTAATGCACAATAACGGTAAACCTAATATAATACAATATAATATAATTGAGTATTTATAGTATATGATTTAGAGAATATTATAGATCCAAGATGAAACTGATTGAAGGATGGGACTGAGAGAAAAGCTGCAGTTACAAATGCTATTTCAGCACCATGGACAGAGCCATGGCTCTATCAGTAAACAGCACAGTTAGGCTGCTGATATTTCAGAGCCATGGTCGGGGCCATAGAGTCTAACTTGCACAAAGGTCAGTCAGATAACAGATCATCGAGTCAGACAGACTAGACAAATATATTCAACTACACAACCACTCTGCCCTGCACTCTCTGCTATAGGGGATGAGGAACAAGGCAGATGACAGCTTAACAAGAGGGATGCATTTTAGTCATCTTGCAAACACAATATCCCCCCTCTGTTGATTACACTCCAGTATTTTTGGAGCTACTTTGGTCCAGAGTGAAGTATATCACATTACATTACATTACATTTTCTACAGACATTCACGGTTCCCACAAGAGCCATCCCACTGATTTCAGTGTGTGAGTTTGTATCTAGCAACGCCATTAGACCTACATTTGTCCAATACTTTAATTTATAGGCCTAATATCTGCAGAACTAATGATATTCCCATCAGCATCAGCTGTGCTTTGTGTTTAGTGCTTATTAGTAAATGTTAACATGCTAACACACTAAATTAAGGGTGACATAATCTTTTTTGGGGGGAGTTTTTGCTAAGAACAGCGAGTATTGTATGCTGTGTCCCTTGAGGCAAATTTGTGATTTGCGATATTGAGCCATATTAATAAAATTGACTTGACTTCCAAACATTTGCTAATGATGCATTTCAGCTGAGGCCAATTTGAACTTACATTGTGTTGTATGAACCGTGTTAGGCGGAGACAAATTTTACGGTTGTCTAAACAGGGGATTAGTCTAATTTCCAAGCATTTGCTCTCTATTGAAACAGCAATGTAAAGGTCAAATCAGCATCCCAAGGGCTTGAATCATGTGGGCCTGTCTAAATCAAGCAAAAAACGAAGCTGTGAAATAGCTGCGGGAATGTGACCTGGCCAATCAAAAGATCACAGGTTCATGACCTCATGCCAGCAATTGTCAGTCTTTGAGAAACACAACAATAAACTGTGTTTAAATCTTGATTACAATTGCTTAAGCTACAAATACATTTCATAAAAACATGTGAAGCTGCAACGTCATTTTTAGTCTAATTAAGTAATGTGTTGATTGGCTGCAGTACACTCATACCCATTTCTCTTCTTTTGCATTAATCAATTTTCACAACTGGTCAAATGTGTAATGTGAAAGGAGTCACTAGAAGTCGTGCTTGTAGAATTATCTCCTGACTCTAGCAGCTAAACATACAAATACTTTCCTCACAACAGAGCGAAGATTTAAGTATGTTCAGCACCTTTTTTTGAAATCATAATGGCAAGGACTGAGAAATATAATGTCTACACATCATGTTCAAATGTAAAAAAGGTGACGGATTCTTGGTATCACAGCAGTGCCATCCCAAAAGTACAAACAGTGGGATCTGCTTTTGTGTTCATCAAAGCCTCATGTCACAATATCACTTTAAAATTAAATGTTAATTTGAGTTCACATAAAACTTTCACCTAAACTGAGGAAAGCTTGCTGGTTAGGATGAGGTCAACCTGCAAACTCTCCTTGTTTCTGCATTACTTTTTACATTACTTTCAGTAAACTGACAAAACTACCTCACACTTAATTATCTAAGCATTTACCTGAGGCTGTTTTTTTTAGCTGTTATCTAACCTGGCAACATGAGAAAGAACACCATCATATTTATAGCACTGGCTAGAGGGGAGTAGTTGTTGGAGATTAAACACTAATGCAAACACACACACACACACACACACACACACACACACACACACACCTGGGACCTGACCAGCATTACTCTGTTGGCCAATAAGTAGCTCTATTGTGGTTCCCTGATTTGATCCAACACACTTTGGGAATACAGACAATGGACAAGAGAGGAAGGGTGAGAGTGCTTTCACTTGCTTGCATTATAGTCAAAGAAGGCATTCAAGGTGCGTGTGTGTGTGTGTGTATTCATTACATTAATTTTCATGCTGACCTAATTAAAGAAAAAAATCCAAACTTGAGAAGTTTATGTTTTGCATGCTTTTTTACGTTTTTTTTCCCCTTTTCCTGTTCTTCTCTGTCAGTTATCTGAACGACAAAGTGGCAGCTGTTATTCCCCCAGCAACCCTGCACCGGTAACCACGGCGGCGAGACACGTCTCCATCCTCCGCTGGAGGAGAACGAGACGAAGAGACTAAGAGTAAACACAACAGTCCTGAGGGAGAGAT